AGCAGCTTAGACGTTCTGGGATGTGTCATCATATAATGACAATGTCAGCTGGCACACCGAGCGCATTATGCATCGTTTAACTTTTGGTATAGAAAGTGCTGTTCATATGCGCACTCGAGATTTGCGGACTCATGAATGGCACGGATGGGGACAGAGCATATGAGGAATCCTATACACCTGAGTCCCAGCAGCTAAGCAGCCTGGACCACAACAGGTGAGCAGATTAGTGTGAAGTAAAGGACAGATTCACATATAAGCTATAGCTGTAGATGTGCCAGTTGAATCATGCATCCCGCGGCAGTAAGAATGGACCGGCTCAGGGTCACTGTTGCAGACTTCAAAAGAGGGGGCTGACTGTGTCCAGTGCATTCTCACTAGGTGATTAACTGTTGCATCATGCTACACTGTCCACTCGCTATTTTATTCAGCCTAATTCCTTATAATGTCCTCTAACTATGAGTTTGCTGAGTTCACAGAGGTTAAGGATGTGCATGCAACGTGCGGGCGCTGCACCGAGACCTTTCAAGAGACTGCACTTTATTACATGCATGCCAGCCAGTCAGGTGAGCCACTCCATTGGCTTTGTGGGGGATGTCGGCAGTACTACCGGGATAAAATATCTGCATACTTCAGCTGCTGTGAGACCATGGGTGCAATCGTGTAGCTCTTGCAGTCACTACAAGGTGACATGAGGTTCCTGGAAACGGTTATTACAGAATAACATAGAGAGATAAAGGGAACATGGTACGATCGGCCCATGTTGCACACGATATGCAAACATGTAGAAGGTGATGCATAGTTGTGCGAGCCTAGAGGGACAGCGGATGATCTCCCCCTCCATAAGCCATACAGAAATCCCTAACAAGTGATATTAGATATTATGATGAACTCCAGATATACTTCAAAGGAAATCACGTACCAGCAAGATCAAGATCTCAGTCAGGCTATGTACACCAAGCCCAAGGATTCTCCATGGTGAATCACTTGAATTCTGCATCAGTGCTATCATGAGTCCCATGCCGACCTGGCCATTAGCTATGCAGCCCTCATAGTACTTAGCAATAACTTGAAGGAATCCTGGGAAGTTATCATAGACATCAGACAAGGGAGATGGCATGTGTCACTGAGGCTAGAAAAACCATAGTGTCATTGGCAGGCAAGAACAGTAGAACATATACAGGCCAGTGCAGGCATGTGAGTGTACCCCGCAGCTTTGAAAGCAAAACAAGAGTGAATCAGCAAATCAAACAACATGAATCCAAATGAATGCCAATTGAACATGAATATCAAATGCAATCCAGAACACAATCCAGAACTGAGAATACGAATGCATGATGCATCGAGAACAATGTGAACAAATGCAAATGAGAATGCACAAGAACAAATGGGAATGAAAGTGAAAGAGAACAAGAATGCAAATGCAAACGAGAACAAGCGTGAATGAGAACGAACCACAACTGAACTGAATGTGAACACGGACGCAAACTCAGACTTGAAAGCAAAGGCAAAGTTTGAAGATAATATAATATATTCGACCTTTGCGTAGATGTGCGCATCTGTGAACGAACAGACAAGTAAACCCACTCACCACCTCTCATGAATGAGTGCAAAGATGATCACATTACCTGTGAACGAACAGACAAGTAAACTACAGGTAATGGTAAGTCCATGAATGAACGGGTTCACAAATACAAACTCACCCCACTTAGCATGGCTAACAAACAAGTGCAAAGATGGGGGTGTATCTATGGGGGCGGTGTACTTAAGATCCTCGAGCTCGCAAGGTATGGTACAACAATCCAGATACATCAAAAGGCTATCACAATACTATATGAGCTGTCAGAGTGATAAAGAGTGATGATAAGAGAATGAAAGATAAACATAACCAAAAAAGGAAAGAATGTCGCTATATTTGGGAAACAGTGCAGTTTGCCACAGCCTGAGAACACAGTCACTCCAACACTCCCCCTCAAATTGTGCGGAGTCCCAGCTCAACAGCAAAATGCTTGACTTTCAGCGATGGCAAAGCCTTGGTCAGAGTGTTGGCAACCATGTCGGCAGTAGGACAATAGACCAGGCGGAGCTTTCCTTCTTCAATAATCCAGCAGATTCAAAGAAAACAAATGTCGATGTGCTTGGAACATGCATGATACTGATGATTTTCTGTAAGTGCAATAGCTGACTGGTTGTCTGAGTAGAGAATTGTAGGGCTGTCCAGGTCAGCAAGCAGCTCTCCGATAAGAGACCTAAGCCAAAGAGCTTCCTTTGCAGTGTGAGCAGCAGCTATGTACTCACTTTCAGTTGTCAACAGAGAAATAATTTCTTGACATTTCAAACTCCAGGAAACAGCACTGCCGTTGATAAGGAATGCATAGCCAGAAACTACACGGTGATCCTCCACCTTACTACCATCCGCAACTGCATAGCCAACCAAGTCCCGCTAAACATCTCCGTAGCATAACCAAAGATCCCTAGTACCCTTCAAATATCGGAAGACGCGCTTGACGGCATCTCAGTGAGCAATGCCAGGATTAACTGAGAAGCGAGAGAGCATAGTGACAGTGAATGAGATATCAGAGCACTGTTGAGATCTGATGACTTGGTCACTCTTTGTTGACTGAGTGGCTCATGGAATGGCCTAGGCCCTTCTAGGCCGAGTTACCTTGTTCTGAGCCACTCCCTTTGTTGTGAGCCACTCCCTTTGTTGTGAGCCACTCCCTTTGTAGTGAGCCACTCCCTTTGTATTCCTTGTATTCCTTGTTCTTCTTTGTATTTCAATGTCCCCCTTGTTCTGTCCTTGTTCTTTGATGCCCTTGTATTCTACAGTATATAAGGGCTCCCTAGGTCGCTCTGTGTCCCCCAGTCTTGACACAGTTTGACCTAGGTGAGTCTGCCACTTGTATTCCTTATGCCAGAATACAGTCTTGACACAGTTTGACCTAGCCCTTGGGTGTTGTCTGAAGCTAGTATCTTCCACTGCCAACAGGTTATGAGCCCAATGCTCTAGATCTTCAGACACCCATCTCTGCCAGTCCTTCACTCAACGTTGTCCTTTGTGCCACTGAGCCACTGAGCCTCTTTTGTGCCACTGAGCTACTGTCTATCACCACTGCTAGACCCTTCTTGCCTGGCTTCCTGCTTTCATCATGTCCCAATCATCATCTTCCAAATCCAACCTCCTCTGCTCCTACTGTGGTATCTCTGCCTCCCACACTGAAGCCACTTGTTATAGGAAGCAGAAGGACAGTATCAGAGCGAAGCAGGACCTCTCAATGCGTCTTAGCAGGAAGCAGACATTCTCTGGGAACTGTGGTATGAGATCTCATCAAGGCTCACTCTTTCCAGCTCCTGCTGGGCAGGAAGAGTTTGCTGGGCATGCTGCAGCATTGCTCTCGTCTTCAGAGCGTTCTGCATGGCTCCAGACCTCATCAGCCACTCACTGGAACACAGACACTGGTGCTTCAGCACATATGACTTCACATCGTCACTGGTTCCAATCCTACTCTCCCCATCACATTCCCATGTCCAACTGGGAAGCTGGCAAGCGTCCGGATACACACAGAGATGCCTGAGTCAAGCTCTATTAATGCTAAGGAAGAGAGCTTGACTCAGGAGCGCATTTTCGCTCTTCTGGGAGCGTGGGAACCAACTGTACAGTATGGGAAATGCAAGGGAAAAACGCAGGGTTAAAGGGGCTAAGTCACCAGGGTAAAGGAAGCCAAAATAGCGTAGTGGTTACCACCACTAGCAGGGATGCATACCTGGAGGTTTTGGTTCAATCCCCAGTCAGTGCACTTTTTACCTCCAATAAAGGACTTCACCATCGAGCAGCTGGACGAAGAACTCGCTCCCATGTCTCTCATTTGCTCCCTCCCTGCTGAGTACAACAACTTCGTCTCCTCCTTGCTCCTGCTCGACTCTCTCAGCCTCTCGAAGCTCCAGAGCGCGTTCCAGAACGACGAGACCCAGCGTACGACCCGAGGCTTCTCCTCTACCCACTCTCTCGCTCTCAAGGCCTCTGGCAGTCCCTCCTTCGCTCCTGACGTCCGCTGCTCGTTCTGCGACGCTGTGGGCCACTCTGAGGCCTCTTGCTTCGCCAAGGAGAAGGCTACTAAGGCTGCGAAGGCCAAGACTGCTGAGCGTTGCCAGGAGCGGTCTGATCGTCGCAAGGGAGGTGCTAGGAGGCCCCAGAACGCGCAGGAGGCGTCCGAGACGCCTGGGGAGTCTGCTAACGCAGTGGAGTACGCTGGCAAAGCAAGTGTCGCTCTCTCTGCTTCTGAGCGCGTTTCTTGGCTCTAGGTATGTCCCTCTGTATGTTTCTGTACTTCCTTAGCATTAATAGAGCTTGACTCAGGCATCTCTGTGTGTATCTGGACGCTTGCCAGCTTGCCAGTTGGACAGGTTATGAGCCCAACGCTTTAGAGGCTCCAGATCGCACTTTTCGCCCGTCCTACAGCCTCTGCAGCGCTCCTACTCTTATCAGAGCAAGATCTCAGCCTATCCAGCCCTCCATCTGCTCTCTATCGCACTTTTGTCTCCTGCGCTCTCCAGATCGTTCCTATCGGTCCCTGTCATCGGCCTAGGCTTGTTCGTCGCGCCGTTTCGCCCTAGACAACCCCTGGACGTCCCATCTCGCGCCCACTCGCTCCTACAACTCCATCTTCCTCCCATCTCATTCCCAACTCCTCTCTACTGCCCCTAGACTGTCTCTGCTGGTCTTTGCTTCGCTCTTAGGCTGCTCATCGCTCCCTATCGCTCCCATCGTCGTCTTATCGCCTCTCATCGCTCTCTTCGTCGCTCAGCAATGTCTCAAGCCAAGAGGACCTTCCCTGCTCTTGGGGAGAGGAACTATGGCTCCTGGGCTGATGATATGGAGGCCTATCTCAAGACTCTTGATCTCTGGGACGTCACTAGCGACCCTACAGCCGCTCCTCAGCTCTACTCGGAGACTACACCCACCATCGAAGACAAGAGGGAGCAGAGGAAGTGGGAGGCGCGAAAGGGGAGAGCTGCTGGAGAGATATGGTTGGCTTTGGAGGATGGGCAGAAGGTGCATGTGAAGGAGGTGAAGACGGATCCGTTGAAGATGTGGGAGAAGTTGAGGGAGGTCCATGTTCAGCAGAAGCCTGGTGCGCGTTTTAACGCTTATGATGTTCTCCTGGGCTTGAGGAAGGATGAGGGCGAGTCCCTGGTCTCTCTGATGGCTAGAGCGGACAAGGCTATGCAGGATATCCGCTCCCTTCGCCCTAAGGACTTCACCATCGAGCAGCTGGACGAAGAACTCGCTCCCATGTCTCTCATTTGCTCCCTCCCTGCTGAGTACAACAACTTCGTCTCCTCCTTGCTCCTGCTCGACTCTCTCAGCCTCTCGAAGCTCCAGAGCGCGTTCCAGAATGAGGAGACTCAGCGTACGATTCGAGGCTTCTCCTCTACCCCCTCTCTCGCCCTCAAGGCCTCTGGCAGTCCCTCCTTCGCTCCTGACGTCCGCTGCTCGTTCTGCGACGCTGTGGGACACTCTGAGGCCTCTTGCTTCGCCAAGGAGAAGGCTACCAAGGCTGCGAAGGCCAGGACTGCTGAGCGTCGCCAGGAGCGGTCTGATCGTCGCAAGGGAGGTGCAAGGAGGCCCCAGAATGCGCAAGAGGCGTCCGACACGCCTGGGGAGTCTGCTAACGCTGTGGAGTACGCTGGCAAAGCAAGTGTCGCTCTCTCTGCTTCTGAGCGCGTTTCTTGGCTCTCTAGTCCGGCAGCTGCTAACTGGAACACCGATACAGGCGCTACTTCACACATGACCCCTCATCGTCGCTGGTTCCGCTCCTACTCTCCCCACATCGTCCCTGTTCGTCTTGCCAACAACCAAGTCATCTACTCGGCTGGGATGGGGTCTGTGGTGTTCGAGCCGTTGATTAGAGGGTCTAGCGCGCCTGCTGTAGTCTTCCATGATGTCTTACATGTTCCTCAGCTTGGATCGAATCTATTATCTGTCTACCACCTTACCAGAGCGAAGGGCTATCGCTGTGAGATCCAGGATGCGACTGCTTCGTTCTATCTCAGTGGGAAGCTCCTGTTCACCGCATCTGTCAACGATCGCAACACTGGGTACTTGGATGGTCGTACCCTTGTCCCTCCATCGCAGTCTGCCTCCATAGCGGACGCTTGTCCTCTGGACTTGTCCCTTTGGCACCGTCGCTGCTCCCACCTCAACCATGACGACCTCTTGCTCATGAAGCGCAAGGAGCTCGTCATTGGTCTCTCTATTCGCTCTAGTAGCGCTCCTGACCCTATCTGCGAGCCTTGCATCGCTGGTAAGCAGCACCGTCACAATGTCCCTCAGCACGCCACTAGGCCTTCAGCTGCTCTTGACCTTGTTGTCTCTGACCTCAAGGGGCCTCTCCCGGTTGCGTCTATTGAAGGCTACAAGTACTGGATCACCTTTATCGACGCTCATACTCGCTTTTTCGTCGTCTCCTTTCTCAGGAAGAAGAGTGACGCGTTCGAGGCCTTCAAAGCGTACAAGGCCTATGCTGAGAACGCGCTAGGGGCAATGATCAAGTGCACCTTGGATGACAAGGGTGGGGAGTACGTGAGTAAGGAGTGGGATGCGTACTGTGTTCAGGAGGGGATAGTGCGGAAGCACACCGAGACGGACGAGCCCTACCAGAATGGGATCTCTGAGCGCGCTAACCAGACTATCCAGGCAGCGGTTACTGCTATGCTTGTCGAAGCCAAGTTGCCTGCTTCGTTCTGGACTTATGCTGTTCGCTGTTTTGTCCATGTCCACAATCGGCTGCCTACCTCTTCTCTGTCTGGTGCGATTCCCTACTCTCTCTGGAAGAAGGGCAAGAAGCCGGACCTCTCTTACTTCAGGGTCTTTGGCTCACTTGCTTATGTCCTGATTCGCAAGGATAAGCGCAAGGCTCTCCAGACCCATACCAGGAAGTGTATCTTTGTGGGTTATGCGGACAGAGTTAGAGCTTGGCTGTTCTATGACCCAGCTACTCGCAAGTTCTTCAACTCCTCTAATGCTGTCTTTGACGAGCGCTGCTTCCCTGGCAATTCGCGCTCTATCGACCTCTTTGGTGAGCCTTCCACCTCTGTAGACGTCCCTGATCAGGGGGGAGACGCTCCAGAGCCTGCAGAGTTGCCGGCTCAGGGGGGAGATGAGGAAGAGGTTGATCCTGCTCCTCTGCCGGCTCCTGCTCCTGTCTCGCGTTCTCCCTCTCCAGAGCTCCCTCAGCCGGCTATGCCCCCTCCAGACGCTCCAGATGCACCTCCTGCACCACCTCCAGCTGCGCCACGCTCCAATCCACCTCGAGGCTCTCGCCCTAAGCGCTCTTTGAACTGGAATGCTCTAGAACGCGATAACACCGCTCCTGCTCACTCCAGAGTGTCCCCTGCTGCCCAGACTCCTCCGCCACCGTCTCCGGCCTCTAGTCCCGATCCATTAGCTCTAGACTCGCCTCCAGCCACTCCCGCTCTTGACTTGGAGCCTGCTCCTGTCTCTGATGATGACGATGAGCTTAGGCTGCCCGGAGCGCTAGCAGAGGACTTGGACTCTGCTGAGGCGATGTCTGCCGCTATGGAGCAAGTCCTGACTGGCCAGGTCGTCGAGTACTGGTCCTGGGAGGAGGCAGCAGAGTATGTTTTCGCGTCTCTGGCTGAGAGCGCGTTCAAGGGTGCTGAGCATGCTGGGGAGGCTCGGACTTTCCATGAGGCGATGCAGCGTCCTTCTGAGGAGCGCCAGCAGTGGCT